AAAATATTCAAAATTATTAAAATAATAATTTAAAACTTTTAAATGTGTAAATTAACTTTACTCTTCTAGATTTTTTTGATAAAAACCAACAATCACATTAAAAATAATCAATGAAGCATTGAATTCGCATGAACTCCTCCAAAATAACGCAAAACTCTGTTGTTGGTTCACTGACTAGAATTATTTTTTTAAAGCTTCATTCTAATCTCATTTAATTAATTTACTTATAGGCAAAGTAGTTATCAAAGATTATAATTAATTCTTACCTAAATAATGAACGTTAAGCACGGTAAGAAGATTTGTATATCATAAAATATGCTTAAAGATATTCTTGATATGTTAATAGATTGAACTAAGAAAAGTCAATATTAAATTAGTACATCTTTAAATTTACCTAATTAACTACTCTGAAAATATTTAGGATAGAACATAACCTATTACATACGACTTACAATATGTTAACAAGAAAAACATTTGTTATGAAAAACCTAAAAGAGATGCAACGGATGAAGTTATTGAATAGTTTGTCGAAATCTTGCCCAACGAAGGTTCTTTCCATTGCAATCAAATCATTTACTCCTTTCGAATAAGGATAAGTGATGAAGTTTATCATGTTATTTTATGATGCTGAAAGGTACATTCAGGAACTCCCTGCGTACTTGCATTCAACCAAGCTTGAGACGAGAGTCATCATCTGCTTCAAAACATCACTACAACCAGTCGTGTAGGATTTGATGAAACGCTTCGAACTTTTATTGATCATTGATTGTTTGAAGTGAGTAAAACACTGTCCAGATGTTTGCACTTTCACTTTGTTTTGGACTATGTATTGTGTTAGAAGACAACATCTATGTTGGAAAGCAAATGTCACGGGTTAATAACCCAAATGGTCACTGACTTTTACAAAAAAAAAATAACGGGGTCACTGGACTTTAAAAATCACCCAAGTCGTCACTGAACTTTGCAAAAGGTTTATAAAGAGTTATTGAACTTTAAAAATCATTCAATTCATTACTAAACTTTGCAAAAGATTTTCACGAGATCACTGAACTTTGTAAAAAGTTTTCTAGGGAAAAGTTCAGTGATGAATGAGATAATTTTTAAAGTTCAGTAACCTTGTGAAAATCTTTTGCAAAGTTCAGTGACCTCGTGCCTTTTAAAGTTTAGTGATGATTTGGATGATTTTTAAAGTTCATTGACCCTATGATTTTTTTTTTTACAAAGTTCAGTAATCATTTGGGTTATTAATTCCAGATGTCGCATAGTCATGGTGCGCTCTATCATTCCTCCAGAGTCCGGTTTGAACATAGTGAAAGGGGTTCGTAGGGAGGAGAATCACTTCCCGAATGTTTGACCTAAGTATGTAACTATAATAGCGTTCAATTTACCTTGGTAGTAAACCAGGGGTGATAACTACCACTCTTTAGGATTAGTCGGGCGAAACCGAACACTCGTGTCATAAAAAATAAAAAATAATAATAAAAATGTGCAACACTTAAACTCTCATCTTGTATATTTTATGCTTTATGTTGCTCAAACATTTCATTTTATGTTGGTTTGATTACATTATAAATAGAGACAACACATGCTGTTTATATTACGTTCTCCTATGTTTCTAGATTACTTATCGTCTCTCATATCATTTCGTTTTGTTGCTTGAAAGTTCTTCCACATACTACAGATGTGTGTTAAAAGATCATAAGCTATACTTTTGTTACTTATTTTGTGTAATGAAGTTCAATGGTGAGGCCAAAGGCTCATTAGAACATGTTTTGGATAGCTTATCTTAAAGATAAGATCTAAATATGTAGCTTGTGTTGACTTATTTTGATTGTACTTGGTTCACATTAGAAATAAGTTACACATTTGTAATTTACTTAAAATAAGCTTACCCCAAACATGCTCTTAATAAGATGATCTCAATGATATTCGATAATATTAAAAATAATCCAAAAATTTTGTTGTTTATATCGTAAATTCTTGTTTGACATTACATACCACGTGGGTGAATTCACAAAGTTAAACCGTTCATTTTAACTGCACATAGTTTTTTGAGGTTCCATTTTGCAAGGGAGAATAAATCAAAATTCAATGCCGCAAGCTAATTTTCTTTTAATCTTCGTTTTAATTTAATTCATTTATTTGGCACAGAGTTGGATTGTAAATTTATTCGTGTGATCAATGTTTTTGTAAAAACGTGCCAAGCACTCTCCATATTTCTCAGTTTTGGACAACATTTATTGAATTAATTCACCAAAAGTAAATGCCAGAAAATAAAAATATTAAAGCTACATATTTTATATTATTCTTTCCGTTACAAAAGAGACAAGACGACTGCTACAGTGCTACTTGTACCCAGACATTCTATTTTAATTTGTATTTTCATTTATCATTATTATCCACTTGTGATAGTATGTTTGGTAGTATTGTAAAGTGCAGAATTTAACCAAATTGAAGCGTTGGACATGGTCCATTTCGGTTCGAATCGAACCCAAAATTTTCAGGTATTTAATAAATGGAACTATCGGGTTCGAATTTAATTATGGAACCGTTCGGGTTCGGTTCCATTCAGTTCGGTTTTGATGTTCCGTATTATAAGTAAACTTTTTAATATCTATAGAATTATATTGATTCAACTAATGATATATTCAATTTTGGCTCTTATAAAATAACGTAGTCCAATTTTATATGTCTTTTGCGTTTCTCTTTGCTGGGTTATTCATATATTTGATTATTAAAATCACATGAAATTGAAGATAACGAACTCACAATACTTGAGAAAGGTGTTGTTGAGCTTCAATTTGATTTCTCTAGAACGGCAGAAACTACAATACTATAGAGTAACAGATTTGGATAAAATTTAGGTCAATTTGATTAAGTTGACTTTGAACTAAAAATTAGAAATTGGAAAATCATATTTTTTGGTTTGAGTTAAATTAACTAGTTAGCAACTTTATTTAGAAAAAATAAAATAATTTGACTTATTTAAAATAAATTAATTACAAAATTAGGGAGATTCAATTTTTCGGTTCTTGACTTAGAATCGATAACCGAACCAAACTTGTCGATTCTCGATTCAGATACCCATTTGTGTATTTAACTTAAAAAGAACACCTCGGTTTGATCCGGTTTGGGTTCGGATCGGGAGTTTTTTGTCCAATCCTACTAAGACTTTGTTTGTCTACCATTATACCATATTATTTTTCCTACTGTACTTATTTTCAATCATAAATTCTTCGTTAAAACAATATTACATGTAAATCAAAAAAAAATCTTTTTTTTTAATCACACATTTTAGCATCAATTACTATTCCATAATACATTACCCACAAATAATGAGGCACAAACACCCCCTAAATTGAATGAATAATAAATATAATTTTATCACACGTGTCTATTTTTTAATTTTAATTTTATTTAGAGATTGTTTGAGTCCCATATTTTTTTTGTGTCAAAATGTGTCATTAAAAATATATATAATTTGAGAATAATTGGGACCAAACACAGGTTTAATATGGTATGATAAACATACCTACTTCGAAACTTATGCATTATTTCCTTAAATAATAGATAATTTAAATGATAAGATTGGGTGATCATCCAAACCTTGTTGACATACATTTTTTTACGATGTAAACATTATTGATGCCAAATTAAAAACTCTTATAGCTTATAAAAAAATGCTTAAATTGAGAGAGAGAGAGAGAGAGAGAGAGAGAGAGAGAGAGAGAGAGATGTATAATTACTTTTTTTTAGCAAGCTTTGACAAACACACGTTGGAATATATTCTAATAAGCAAAGGTGGCTTCAATAATTTTTTTAGCTTAAACAATCGTGATTCAAATTAATTAATCTATGGATACTTATCCAAATCACTTATTATCATCCATTTACTTTTATTAAAAAATAATTTTTCTTTTACAGGAATCTCACTAAATTATTCGATCCTTGAACAAGTCGATATTTTCTATGTATTGTGTTTTTCTTCTTGTCTTTTTTTCTATCCCCGTCTTATAATTTTTTTCTCTTTCTTGACAATAACAATATTCTGAAACTGAAATGGGCATTAATTCAAAAAAGTATATCTCGAATTAATGGTTAAAAAATAAATAATAAAATTTTCTTTTTTGAAAAGAAAAAAAATGGAAATTAGTTCAGTTTCACCCTATTTCCAAGTGAATAGATCGGTTCTATTAGTTTTTTTTTTTTTTTTAAACATTATTATTATTTTTTTGCAGTTCCTAATTTAGATATGTTATCAGACCAAATCTCATTGACCAACACAATCAAATAATCAATTATTCTTCTTGTACGATCGGAGTTGACAACCCCATTAACAATGTACTCACACTTACACTCACAGGAGGAGGAACCCACTATTTTTTTATTCAACGTGGGCTCCCTCCCATGTATCTAATTGTCAACCGAGATTCGCAATACTAATCGAATAATAGTGTATTACAGTCACTAGTTCTCTTTTAGCTTTTCTTTACGTTTGGAAAGCAATGGATTACAACACCACAAGCACATAATTTTTGAGAGTGGAAACATGTAACATGTCCGTTATCAATCGCAAATCACTTAATAAAATACTAAAAACGCTAATCGACGCCATTTAGAAACGTAATTATATCTCATTATAAAGTAATGTTCCAAATACCACCACCCCACTCCCACACACAACCCCTCCTCAATAAAAAAAATAAAAAATAAAAGGAGAGTTAATTTTCATTACTTTGCATTATGCCCATGTTTCGTTCAAATAATTTGATTTCAATTAAAGTTAATAATTAAATTTAACTCACATTTTATTGGATTCATAACTTTTCAACAACATTTTCTCAACTTTTATTAAAATTTACTAAAAATCTAATTTTATTCTTCACCAAACGGGACAATATATCTTGGCTCAATTAGGCTTGTCTCTTTGTAATCGATGGTTAATCTTCTTTGGTTTTTCCAATTTTGTCTAGTTAGTTGACCACACCGCGGGAATGCCAAGGTGGTTGTGGTGGGGCTATGCATGGTATCAACATAACACAATACAATAGGCTTGTGGAGACTGGAGAATCATAAGAAGAGTTTTCCTTTTTCTTTGTGGATGGGATTTCAACAAGAAAAATGAGAACGAAAAACCCCGTAAAATCCAACAAAACATTGGATTTTTTATGCATATCTTTGTTGGAATTAACAAGTCTCATCTTTGGAATATCCAAGAATCCTCCTAGTGAGTTCCTCCGCCTCTTCTTCTAATTCTTCTTGTCTGATCTTCGTTTAGTACTATGGTTTCCGTTTTCTTGGCTGCATATCTTTTACCGGTCTTTTCTATGCTCAAAATTTGTTATAATTAAACTATAAGAATCTTGATGTCTGGATTCAGATATGTGTGAGATCCAATTAGGTAGAATATCTTAAAAACTCTGTGGGCATTTAGTTATTTGCTTCAATTTACTATAGATTATCAGCTGAAAAATGTTTTGGTTTCTTGTGCAGACTGGGCTTTGACAGTGTACAACTTTCATACTAGATTGTATTTGGATATAGATTTTGAAATCTCGAGGTTAAGACTGAAGACTAGCAATGGATGAAATTGTTCGTCCTCTTAATACAATTTTTTGTCCACCATATGATGCCTTTATGGAATTTGATTACATGGATGAGCTACTGTTAGGAGGATTTTGGTTAGATGGATCTGAATTCTCACATTACAATGCTTCGACTCTGAGTGGTCCATTCGATCCTTCATTGGTTTGGCCTGATCTAGAAGAGAGGCAAAGATCAACTTTTCATGACAGTCTGCCTATTAATAGTCCATCCCAAGGACCAAAAAATACTGCAAAATCTCATTCAGTTGTCGCGAATGCTGCTAATGATGGGGGTTCTTTAGGCCAATCAGATCGTTATTTAGTTGAAAGTTCGGAGCCGAGCAAAAGGTGGATTGGACAAAGGGTCTCGAAATCGGTAGTAGACCGTTTGAATTGGGCACTTGGGTACATAAAAGATTACTCGAGAGATAAGGATGTACTTATTCAAGTGTGGATACCAGTTAACAGAGGTGGCCGGAGAGTGTTGACGACAAATGATCAACCTTTCACACTTGACCTTAATTGCTCAAGGCTTGTCCATTACAGGGAGATTTCTGTGAATTATCATTTCCCTGTTGAGGAGGCTTCTAAAGGGGTAGTGGGATTGCCTGGACGGGTATTTTTGGGTAAGGTTCCCGAGTGGAGCCCTGATGTTCGATTCTTTACAAGGGATGAGTACTCACGAGTCGGTCATGCACAACAGTACGATGTTCGTGGAACCTTCGCCGTTCCAGTTCTTGAACGAGGTAGTAGCAATTGCTTGGGTGTTATTGAAGTGATCTTGACCAAGGAAAAGATGAAATATAGCGCAGAGCTTGAAAGTGTATGCAAAGCTCTTGAGGTTAGATTTTTTGCTCTTTTCCACGAGTTGTTTTACTTTTGAATAAAACATTCAATTTCAGGGAAATCCCAGAATGCAGTAGAATTTATGGCTCTCAATTCATAATTTCGGGCCCCATTTCCCAAAATACGCCTGGTGATTTTATCAATTGTTAGAATTTTTTCTCTAAGAAATCATGAATATGAAATAGTAGTACATGCTAGTATTTGCAGCACATCAAAAAAGTTTTAATGGTATCGCTTGTTATCTCCGGTTTTTACTGCTCTTAGTTCCTCATCCATTTGTTGCTTCAAATTTTATTTCAAATCCTTCAGTGTACAGCGTCTCAAAGTTTTAGCTTTTCTGTAGAGTAAGAAGTGATCTTGTTCATCTGAGAATATACTGTTCACAGTGTTACTTGTAGGTATTGAGACCCAATTTCTTTTGCTAAAATTTGATGTTAAATAACTTGCTTTCTTATAGGCTGTTGATCTCAGGAGTTCCGGGTTATCAAGCGTGCAAAACGTCAAGGTTATTGGATGGATTCTGCACAATATCATTTCTCCATAGAAGTTTCGAAATGTTTCCAAACTAACATGACTGGTTCTTTGCAGACGTGTGATTTATCTTATCAAGCTGCATTACCTGAGATTTTGGAGGTCTTGAGATCTGCTTGTGAAACACATAGATTGCCGTTGGCTCAGACGTGGGTCCCATGTGTCCTACAAGGCAAAGGGGGGAGTCGGCACTCGGACGAGAACTTGCTTCATTGTGTTTCCACAGTAGATTCTGCTTGCTACATAGCAGATCCCAGTACTCAGGATTTTCATGAAGCTTGCTCCGAGCACCACTTGTTAAAAGGTCAAGGCATTGTTGGTAGAGCATTTATGACTAACCAACCTTGTTTCTCGTCTGATGTAACTGCTTATAGTAAGACGACTGAGTATCCTCTGTCTCATCATGCGAAAATGTTTGGACTATGTGCTGCTGTTGCTATACGTCTTCGGAGTATCTGTACTGGTTCGGCTGACTTTGTTTTGGAGTTCTTTTTGCCAAAGGATTGTAGGGATCCTGAAGAACAAAAGATAACACTCACTTCATTGTCGAATGTTATACGAAAAGTATGCCGCACCTTACGAGTTGTTACGGATGAAGAGTTGCAGAATGAACCTGTTTCTCCAGTTTGTGAAGTTGCAAATCCTCCAGTAACTATATCTAGTGAAGAAATTCCAAAGGTGGACACAATGCAATCTCTGAGGCCGTCTCGTGAGATAAAGTCCTGGAATGGAAAACCAAGAGAGATTCTGGCTGAAATATCGTCACAATTCAAGAAAGATCAACCGGATTCTAATTCAAGAGCAGGTTTTGCATTTGATGGAATCCCTTCAACATCTGCTGATGATAGCTCACGGAGCACAAGTAAAACTGGAAAGAGAAGGCGGAAGAAAGCTGAGAAAACCATTACCTTACAAGTTCTTCAGCAATACTTTGCTGGGAGCCTGAAGGATGCAGCAAAGAGTATTGGTGGTAAGCGATGGAGACTTCCCTGAGAACTCAAAATCTTCTGCACTATTCCATTAATATGTAGAAGACATCACATTTTAGAGTATACTATTCTTGAATTAGATCTTTCCTGCCGCTTTTATTTATTTATTGACATTTTTTTCATTTTCTCTGCGACTTCAGTTTGTCCAACCACTTTGAAGAGGATATGCAGGCATCATGGAATAATGCGTTGGCCTTCTCGAACGATCAAGAAGGTTGGTCACTCCCTAGAAAAGATTCAACGCGTAATAGACAAGGTCCCAGGTGCCTCTGCTTTGCAAATTGGATCCTTTTATTCCAATTTTCCTGAGCTGGCATCTCCAAATGTATCGAGGATTACCCAGTTTACAAATTCAAATCCAACTGATTGTCCAATGCCATTAGGCAGGCAGCCTGAAAATGACGTTTTTAGCTCCACTTCTGGTACATCTAAGTCAACTTCCACTTCATGCAGTCGGAATTTGAGCTCAAGTCAATCTTATTCTAGTGAGACACAGCAGAATCCTTACACGTTTAACATTTCTGGTTCAATGGTTCAGGAAGAATCTGTCAACGACCTGCTAAAACGCTCAAGAAGCGAAGGAAATCTGCATTTGTCAAGTGATGTAACAAACTTTCGTGAGCCTTCTAGACAAGAAAGTTTCCCTCGTTCATGGATAGACAATGGTACACAATCTCAAGATGGAGATACTCAGAGAGTAAAAGTGACTTATGGAAAAGAGAAAATCAGGTTCCGAATGAAAAAGAGGTCAGGATATGAAAATTTACTGCATGAGATTGCAACGCGATTTGATATAGATGACACAAGTGGTTTTCATCTCAAATACTTGGATGATGACTTGGAATGGGTATTATTAACATGTGATGCTGATCTGGAGGAGTGTATTAATGTTTACCGATCATCTCAGAACCGAACAATTAAGCTCTCTTTGCTTTGTGATTCCCAACAGCACGTTGGAAGCTCGTATGGTAGCAACAGTTTTTTGTGATTATAGTACAAATAACTTGCACCTACAAATTTGCGGCTGGTGCAGTTTGGAACAAGACTTTATCCCTGCAAAAAGTTCAAATTGCAAGGTAAGAACTCCTAGTACATTAATGCATCGACAGTTCATAAAGGCTAGGACAGTTTTTTTGCTCATGAGACAATACACTTGCTGGGGTACTAATCCAGTAACATATGCTTACCTTTCTGTAAAGTCGAGGTTACACACAGACATTGTATAAAATCCTTGAAACCGAGCCGTGTACACTGGATTCTGAGCAATGCATGTATCACCATACTGGGGTTCTATAGGTGAATCTCTGTGTATATTGCACATTAATTGACTCTGTAAAAGTGTAAATTGGTATCAATATATGGAAAGGCTTCGTTTTGTACAGTACTATATGGAATAATGGAAAGACTTAGTTTTGTCCAATACTCTCCTGTTAAGCCTTGAACTGCAATCAGATCATGGCTATCCTTTAATGAAATTACATGAACCAAAATAACAGAACCTGGAGATATTCAAATGTGAACAAGATACTTTAATATCAAGATTGAGAATAGTAACCTACTTGGTGTGTGCGGGTTTCCATCTCCCTTGATTTGACCACGGGCGCGGATGCCGGGATAGAACAGAAAACTCTGTGGGAGGTTAGCTTAAAGATGACTTAAGGGACAGTCATGTCAGGCAGCCGGGATAGAACAGAAAACTCTATGGGAGGTTAGCTTAAAGATGACTAAGGGACGTATTGAATATGGCAGTAATGACATGACGTCGAACTAGCAGATTGTGGGTGGAGAGGAGAGGAGAGGCTTGCCTTTCTTCTGTACATAATACACGAACGAGCGAATCAACTATCAAGTGTATCCTTCCTAACTTGTTTGCTCTTACACGACTAATGATAAAAAGACGAGGCTCCTAAGAGTAGAGTTGCACCCCATATGGAACCATCGTCAATTAGATTTTAGCATGTCTTTTCATAAAAATAAGTCATAACGGTAGACCAGAATGACCGGGTCCAGTCCGGAACAACTGGGCACAGGTCAGCCCACGCCTTAACCAAGAAACCATTGCCTACAAGCCTCTAAGAGAATTCAACTTCACAATTCTCCATTTTAATGGTAAACTGAGAGGTACAAAACGTTGAAGACAGGAATTCACAAGATATCTGTACATTTTTCCGTTGTATATCTCAAAACAACATCAATTATCATTTTACTTTACATTTGAGTGTGCTACTTCAACACGATAACTGGCTAATTCTACAAGCACCTATACGGATTCTATGGAGAAAACAGAAAAAAGGGAAAGAAAACAGAAAAATAACAGCTACTCTACAAAAAGACCCGAATTAGATTAGAACTGTGACGAAGTTGATGGCCGATCCTCTTGTTTTTCAATGAGAACACACCTCGATGGAGGACCAAACATGCTCAATAGTACCTGAACAAACAAGTAACGAAGTCAAGATGCAGTGCGTGTTTAGTAAAGCTAAAAAAAAATTTCTTTTAATTGAAAATGAGTTATTTGTGTTGTAACTCCTACCTTACTCTCAATTAAGCATTTTTTCCTACTTGTGAGTAAAAACACATAATTTAAACATGTTTGCAAATAAATGTTGCTCAGTTAAGTTTAAGTAAATTACAGGCGAAAAGTAGTCATCACATCGTATCCCAAATTATAGATTTATGATGGTGAATAAATAAAAAATTGTTCATCTAATTTTGTGAAGATTTCCAATAAGCAATTGCTGTCAAGATTATTATAATATTATCAAAATTGAGATTATAACTGAAGTCAGTTGCTCATTTATTATACTTCTTCAGTAAAATGGGAAAGTACCGTAATCGTTACTATTAAGACAGAAAAAGAAGTTCAAATCTTGTTTGTTTGTAGCCAATAATACTATGATACATTTTTATCTCCCACAAAAGTTGGATGAATTTATTCTTATTGACCTCACCAGCTTTTACCCCAAAAATAATTAGTAGAAGAAAAAAAGATGATAAATACAAAGATCTTACAGGTAAAAAGACCAGCCCATGCAAGAAACCTAGGAGCACCAAAGCAAGGTACATTTTGAAATAGTAAACCTGCAAATCATATAGTAAAGTTTAATCACTAGAAAAAAATGCTTTTCTTATGCACGAATCTTAATGCACGAAAATAGATACCACAAAGACTTCGGTCTTTGAAAAGCAAAGAACAAGCACACCAACGAGCTTCGTGAGTGTGATTCCACTGCCAAAGAGAAAAAGATGAACGCATCAGTTGAATCATTATGTATTGATGGGGAAAAATGAAATTGCCTCCAAAAGTCTCCTCAAAATATTGGAAAAGAGTAGTTTTACCAATAAAAAAGTTAATCTCTTGAATTCAAGATTGAAACTGAAACTATATGGACATCAGAATTCTTAGCTGTTGGAGCGGAAAGAAATAAAACCTTGGCTAAAAGCCCAAGATACATTTGTAGAAGAGGTAAGGAGATACAAGTTAATGAACGAGTGGTAGAAAAGGATTCCCGTAGCCTACCCATGTTTTGAAAAGCTTAAAAAAGTGCAAAATTCTTCTTTAGGAAATAAAGTAAAGACTTGCTTTTCAAAATAAGTTTTTCATCTAAAAATCTCAAAAAAATATGTCATGCAATTTTTTTAAAGTAACTTTTGAGCTTAGCCAAACATGACACAAATTCAACTTCTGACTTCCCCACACCACACTCCATCAAAACATAATCGAAGCAACAACTTTTCCAAAATAATGTGCAAGTCAATTCATAGTGAATTATGCCTTTTCTTTTATCTGTATTTACTACCTGAAATATATTACAGATAGGTTGTAATTCTGTGCTATATGAACAATGTAAAACAGGAAATCAGCGGCTCTGGGGACGCATGATCAGAGGGTGGACTAAGTTGTATGCGTCCAGTGAATTTAGGGCATGCATCATTTAAACATACAGTGTAATTACCAATAGACACTATTTTCTATTTGGAGAGAGGAAATATTTGGTGCTAATGCCCTTTGAGCCCCATTTTTTCACCAAAATACATTTTTCAACAGTGATTTGACAATATTTCAACCACACATTCTTCAATAAAATAATATTATACGCAAATCAAAAAAATTTCCTTATTTTTTAATCACACATTTCCCATCAATACACTATTCAAAAATTCATTTTCTCCACAAAAATGGAGCTCAAACAAGGGCAATATCATTTATTTCCTATTGTGAATTACTATTGCCCCAAACTACGTGTCGTAAAATCAATTGATGCCATATATTATGCTAAAAATAGTTCTTCAAACGTTTTTCATATGCAATTGAATTAGGTTGTGTTGCTTTGAGTTGCATAGCGTTGCGTTGCATATATTGTTCTCCTTAATCCCCACACAGAGTCAAACCAGACAACCTTTTTGGAGACCAATGAAGTAAAAGCTGAGAAATGGCCAAAAGGAGATCTACAAAAGCTTCTCAAACAGAGAGAGAATGTAAACCTGAAAACAGAAGCCCCCATTGTCGTCAGAGCCTCCTTCATTCGTTGATTTCTATCTCCGCTACTTACCTGGTATGGAAATGTAAAGTTAGTGGATCAAGAGACTCGCATATTAACCAAAAAAATGGTAATCAAGAAAATCACACACTGACAGATCATACCCCCCCCCCCCCCTCTTTTCAACCGTAGCCCCTCACAGAACCCAAAAGCGTGGATGCGGGATAGAAACATCATGGATAGATATAAACATTATATTCGGAATTGAGACTTACCAAGAAAGCATGTGTAATATGCACACAGAACTCGACGGCTATACCTACGGACATTATGAGGTTAACAACGGACACGGCATTGAGTTGAATATTCAAAATTGCCATTACACCCTACAGGGTACCCACGAGTACAGAAAGTTAGAAAGCTGTTAAATGGTGCTATATGTGAAATTCTTTGAAGTAAAAAGGTTCCTAAACAACTGACAAGAAAGAAACGTACCATGATATCCACAACGATCATTATCAACACAAGAAGAATAATTGCTGAAGTCCAGAAACTAAACACAGAAGGAAGTAAAGAGATAAGCAAATGAAAACGTTTAAACATGGAAAGTAACAATTTTAATCAGAAAACTAGGGTAAAAATGCTGACCTGCATGTGATAACTAGACAAACGATGAAAACAGCACCTGTCAAATTTTAGCAAAACTTGGTGTTTTTGAGATGGATCATAAAAATTATTAAACGGGCGAATATATGTAGTAAACAAAGTGTCCCATTAGGAGTTTGGGGTTAGAATATATAACTAAATGTGATCTCTGAGTAACGAGTAAAAAAAAGTTTCTCCTAAAATATACTGCTGTTTGAAACCGATACATTCAATCCTGCATAAAGGGCTGCTAATCAAATAGAACATTAAGTCCGGTTGCTTGCAGGTGCAATTGGTTGAAAAGATTACAAGTCTATGAAAAGTTCTAACCAGTAGCTATAGCTAGGTTGATTAGTGCCGTCTTCCATATGCTGAGATACTGCTCAAAGAACATATAAAATACAGCATATGGGAACACCTCAATCTGCATTGGATAAAACATGTCAGAACAGAAAATAGCATCAAGTTCATAATTTATGACGTTATCTATCATGCAGCGTGAGCATTGGTAATGTGCATGTATGTATATGCCCGTTCCCAAGCACACTTGTATGTGTGTTTGGTACGTAGTAGTGGATGGTATAATGAGCAAGTATTCAGCATCCCTTTGTCTTTAATACCGTAGAGTGCTATCCGATCCTCCTTATCAAACATACAGTACGAGACAGACAGATGAATGGATAGACACAAAAAAGAAATTTTGTACTTAAAAAATATAATGCTCCTCTTTGGCCACCATTTTCTAAAATACATTTTCCCCCAAACTAATTTTCAACCACACATTCTCCCAATAAAATAATTTTGTATGTTGACTCATAACTTTTTCTACATTTTAACTACACATTCTCCCAAAAAAATCACTTTTCACGAAAATCTATTATCAAAAAAAAAGTCTATCAAACAGAGGCAATATTAAGGGCGAAAAGTGTACAACATAGTTCTGCAATACAGACTAAAGACACATTTTCTTAACAGTACACAAATCCATTGCTAAAATGGAAAGAACTAAGAACCAAAATGCAAGATTTGTGGCAGAAAAAAAGTGGAACTATGGACTCGATTCGCATGAAAATAACAAAAAGGACAAAATATGAACAACTCAGTTGCATGTCTATATCTAATAATTTATTGAACTAGCTACACCCGATACCTGCTCATGCCAAATTAAATATATACCTTTAAAGAATCAGACATTTTTGAACTAAAATCTCGTGCAGCCCTCATTGAGTTGACAAAATCAGACTGAAAGAGGAAAAGCCAAGACTTTAAAGAGTAAGTAACAGAATTAAAATAA